TTTAGATCTCCAAACTTCCTGGAATGCATCAGAAATGATCCATCTGACCTTCATTCAACAAACTTCTTCTCATCTCGAGGACAAACCTTACAGGGCTTGCATCAATGAACTGCTTAAGATCCATTAACTGGTTTCTTTACAGTCTCATATCATTAAAGTAAGCCAAAGTAAAGCTTCTGTGTAACTTAATAGTGAAACAGAGTCCTGCAGTAACCGGTGAACGGGCACTACAGGAAATGACATGAACCAAGTAATGAATGAGCTTATTTTTTAGACATCTTGATGGGTGAACTTGCAGCGCACAGAAAATATAGTCTTGGCTGGAACTCGTTTAATACCTACCGCTGTTTCTACTGGATAAAACGATAAATTGACATTCGTTCCCAGAGGTATATTATCACTGTCAGACAATAGACAATGGTTGCCTGTGGTTCTGAAATTGGCGGGTTGCGCGCTCCATCCATCTTGCAATTGTTGCTGATCAGGGACTCTACTTTGGTTCAATCAGAGTTTTTCCACTGAAAACACTATTGACTATTAAACCATACAGTTAACTAACACTCTTAAAAGCAATAAAATGAGCTTAAACATGCTAAAGTTGCACAGGAAGGTTGACTGCAGCAACACCTTTCTCATAAAGCACACTGGCACCATGACCCACTTTTGACTCCTCAGACACCAAATTTGGATGCTAGTGTTGCAGAATGCAGACAAAGTCTGGCAGAGTGATAACAGCAAAGCCAGCCATGCTGCTGCCTGCAGCCTTTAGTCTGATGTTATCCTGAGTTATTATCGTTAAAGACATACAAATATGTTACAATCTCTATTAAGATCATTTTGAACTGGCTAGAAATGCTGCATAATATTGTAATATGTGACACCATTTTTGCCAAATTTACCATGCCATTATAGGCAATTTAGAAAACTGCATAGTAGAGAGAAAAAGCCAGCCAGTTGCATTTTGCATCAATTTCAGGCTATTAACAGTTAGAAATTGGCATTAAATATTCATTCGGGAGCATGTAAGAGAGATTAGAAATAAGTGGGCATGGTCATTCCTGGTCATAAACAAGAGGCTGTTGCATTCTGTAGTTTTTTTCATCCCAAAATAAATCTTCCAACCTTGAGCCAACATTTTCTATATCAGGACTTCGCCATCTGTCATCCACTATACACAGTCACAACACTGCATACGAGCAATACTCAGCCTAAGCTCTCTTTTCTGGATCATGGATGTAGTTTTCACAAACCTTTAAAGGAAGAATATGCGATTTTTTGATCCAGCTGATGTCGCCCTTGAGCACCGGCATGAAACCAAAACAACTCACACTGCATTGGGCGGCTGTGGCTCAGTTGTTAGAGTCAGCGCCTCTCAACCAGAAGGTCAAGGGTTCGATCCCCAGCGAGGGCAACATGTGTCCTTGGGCAAGACCCCCAACCCTGAATTGCTCCTACTGCTTTGGTGGCGGTGTATGAATGGGATTAGTTACTTCTGATGGATGATACTACATACTGTGAATGGTGAGAATGGGTGGGTGTGACATGCGGAGTAAAAGCACTTTGAGTAGTAAGAAGACTAGTAAAGCGCTATATAAATTCAAGTCTACCTTCACACTGCATATAAATTTACACACAATGACCGTAATGTAGAAGCGCTTACGTGACATTCAAATAAGCAGTGAGTACAGTATGTTATTCTTCTTTTCTCTAGTCCCTCAATTAAACAACTTTCATACGCAAGGGGATGAGCCGGCCGGCCGTCCCTGTGATGTAAACGTGCTATAGATAAGGCTCGGAAAGCTCGGAAAACATCACAGACAGCGGGACTCTGGTGTTACACTCATTGTAGACAGTCATGACTCACAGAGTTATTTTCAGAGGATATATTTGATTTCTGCTACATTTAAGTGTGAAAAATCACATATTCTTCCTTTAAGAAATGTGCTCACAAAACCTGACAGGTAAGATATCAGAGCTCTGAAGAAAAGTGTGTGGGGGTTTTTCCACCAAGATCGTATAAAAATAAGCAGCTACTGGAAAACCTGAATCAAGTAAAAACTCCCAATAATAAGGAATGTATTAAATTTGTATGTTTATCTGAGATTAAAATACATTTGATCCAAAGTTGAGTCAACATGTCGCTGGAGAACATTTATAAGGACATGGTTTGGATAGTGCTTGGTCAAATTCCACATGATGAGGAAAAGCCAAAGGAAAAGCACACACAAAAAAACACATTTATTTTTGACTTTTTATCATTAATAAGTTTGATCAATGTCAACATATCAACGCAGAATAAGCTCTTTCTCCCATTTCCTATTCACAATAAGGAACCGGAAATCCCAGCTTTACCAAAACCCAGTCCTACAGACAGGCTATAGACAGCCAGATGTAGTGATGTCATGTGTTCATATTTAATATTTTTTTCCCTTGTGATCAATATAACTTACGGCGAAAAACATTGCATTCTATCGTTTTTCCAATTATTACTAATCCAGGTTATGTAATCGTGTAAGCACAAGTCAGTTAGTGTTGCCAGAACTCCAACGTCAATAAGCAACTTAAGTTTAATCAGAGTGGGATGTGGTTGTGATGTAAGTTGGTTCGAAGTGCCATCACAAAGTCAAGGGGCACTCTCGTGTTCCTTATGTCAGACCAAAAAAAAGAGCTTCTGATCCATCAGCTGGAGGTCAAATTACACCAACAAACAAAACCCTGCCAATACTGAAAATAAAGCAGGAGAGTGCATCGTAATCATCTCTTGTTCACATATTTCATTTAGTTTAAAGTGCATTACATGTAACCAAAATGTAGTTTTAGTTTTCAAATCCAAACAAAACCTTTGGGTATAATCCAACTGACCCCCCCAAGATTAGATTGTGATTATGTGGCTTTATGTAATATGTAATTCCATTTACTCGTATTCTTTTCCATTAAAAAGTTCAACTTTTGACCTTTTATTAGAAATTCCTTTTTTTTAAAGCCCGTACTTATGGTGCAGCCCAGCCAAATCCAACATAAGGCTTCACATAACAGATTACTTGAATGAGATTGTCAAACTGATTTAAGATGAGCAGTAACACCGTTATTTTTTTGTAACCTAAGTTTTTATTAACTTTTAACAGTTTTTTAAAACAATGCAGCACATCTTATACCAAAATAAAAAAGTACAGAGCACTTAGGCAGAGCATGCAAGTCATCTCCCAGTAACAAAAATAACAAAATAACGCCACAGACATAAGAGAGGTACAGCCACCAACATGAATCCATTCTATGACCTTATTTTAACATGTTGCCAAAACAGATCCCATATCTCTTTCATCTTTCCGCCAACATTCATTTTTTCCCAACATGTTTTCATATGAAGAGATCTTAACCATTTCGTCAGTCCATTCCTTCACAGTGGGGCTTCCAATTTCGCAGCATAATTCTCGCGGCTGCGATAAATCCAACCTTTAAAATGCTAAATTTGGGATTTGTTACGTTAGGCACCAATGACTATTAATATCTTCGAACTCACTGTAGAATTAGTGATGGTTATCAGCCTCTGATCCGGCCTAAAATCAGTATCCCAGACTAAAAATGTCATGTTCCTACCTGATGCCATCATTTTAAGAAAAAAAATCTATTAGTTTTAATTAAATAATCACTTGACCAAAACAAACATTTGTTTGGCTGTGGTGGAGAGACAAATATTAGTCAAAGCTAGTAAAATGTCCGCAACGGACAACTAACGACGTACAATAAAATTTTTTATCACATTGGTGAGGAGTATAGAGCAGTCAATATGGTCCAACACTAAAGCCTAGGTATTAAAGAAAGACCTCAATGTCAATGCACAGTGAGTATATGGAGCTCGATTTACTGGCATGTAAGATGATCAAAGAGGTTTGAAAACACTGCCTCCGCTATACTCAACCAACAGTGATTGTCTCTTTTACAGACTGAAATCATATTCGGAAACCTTGTCAAATAGTGACAGATATTAAAATTAGACGACTGATCCAAAAGCAGACAAACATCATGATTAAATTGTGCTTCATCTGGAAGATTAATTTGTCTCACTTCATGCAGACTCTTTATATGTTTCCCTCTGTTTATTTGCTCCATCAATGTGTGCTATTGAACGGCCCTCGACCAATAATCTATAACCTATTAACTTGTAACCCGTCACTATAGCCTACATCTGTGCTGACCCTAAAAACATAAATGTGACAAATGCCTTCCCGAGCACGACTGTGGTGTGTAAATCAGGCCAGTGTAACACCCTGAGGCAGCCGCAGGCTCCAGACCTGATGCCTCAGTCTGGATCGGGGCCCTGCCTGTGTACACTGTGGACTACAGCATCCTCCTGCCACATCACTGCAGCATCCTTTCAAAACATGCCCACTTATGTGTGAGGACCTGTCAAGCAAGAGGGGAAGGGGGGGGGGGGAGCACACGCTGCAAAGCATGCATGAAGAATAAAATGCACATCTGCTTTTTTTTTTATTTTATTTTTTACCTGAAGCACAAGCATCAGCAGCTGGGAGCTTCACTGCACAACATGTACAGCAAGTACAAGCTGTAGAAACAGACAACACGCGTAGGCTACACGAGAGTCGGCAAGTGTAAGATGGCCATGCATGGCGAGAGGGAAGAAAAAAAAATCCCCATAGCGGACACGAGCTCCATCCTCATCATCTTTGAGCAGCTTGCTTGTGTAGGCCGAGCTCTGCCACTTCCGACATGCAAGCTAATGAAGCTAAACGCTCAAAAGAAGGAGGGATACATATGAGTGAAGCAAATTAAGCCCGATATTTGTACTACAGCTGCAAGATTACCTTGGTAGTTCGAAGCAGTTCGCACGATTATAAACGAGTCTTGTTTGCATCTCGCACCGCTGCTGTGATGATCAACCTGACTCAAAACCAGCAGGCCCGCTAGTCAACTACCAGTTCAGACGATGATAAAACCAGTAAAGACGGTGGGCTGTTTATAGACACTTTGCTTTCCCTTACCTTGAAATCGAACCTCATCGAGTGTGCAGTCCTAATATCTGACAAACCGTGCCCATGACAAGCTCCTCGATTTGTGGAATTTCTCTCCCCCTCCGCTACGATCTCAGCATCAGCAGCAGCCGTACAATGAAGCAGTGATGGCCGGTTGGTGATGATGCTGGGAGCCCCGCCCTCCTCCACCGTGCAGCCAGAATGAGCTCACTGGTTTCCAGCTCAGCCACCGGCTCCAGTGGCGCAGCAGTCCACAAGCACACACACACACACACACGCACACACACACACACACACACACACACACACACACACACACACACACACACACACACACAGGAAATGTCCATTTCAGCCGTCCATACAGTAGCCTACAGTCGGCTACCAAACCCGACAACGTTTCACAGGCGCAGCGTTTCTTTAAAATATCAGAAACATTCTGCCACACAGTAATCTGTCTTGATTTCACTTATTGCACCGCACCAAGAAGTTAGTCTTTCACAGGTGTTAAGGCTATTTAAAAACCGTCCCTGAAATTTTAACACATTCTAATATTGCAACATTTTGTTTATTTTCAATTAGTTGTTAGAGGGGGGAGGAGGACATACAGCAAAGGGCCAAGGTCAGATTTGAACCCATGCCTCAGCGACGAGGATTATAACCTCGGTACATGCATCTTGACCACTTGACTATCCAGCTCCCCCAATTAAATAATAATAATAAAAATTAATGACATTTGATCAAATAAGTGATCCAGTCAACAAATGAGAGACAAAGCATGTTTTCAGTGCTTTGACAGTAGAGGCTGGAGGCTGAGCAGACAATAAGTCTACCAAACATCCTTGCAGATATCAGGAAAAACAGTTGACACATTTTTTTAGCTGTACTTGGTTATCTAATAACAGCTGAACTGAACTCTGTCAGGTCTGACAGAGGCCATACAAAATTTACTATCAATGATTGTTGTACTGTACTGTTACTAAGGTAAAGTCAAAAAATAAAATGTGTTACAAGGGATTCATATGGCCTTCAGAACATCTTCTTTGGAGAAATTAGGTTTACGTTATACTCTTTTTCACTCTTTATGCTTATTCTGCATATTAACAAGGTGAGTCTGACATTGCCAGAATATTGAAACACAAGCTCAAGAATTGTAAAATGTTTCATACCTCTCAATATGAAATGATGAAACATAATTTTTTTCTGCTATTAATGAAAGTATTTATAACCTCCATTACCTACAGGTTTAATGGATCCCTTTTACAAATGTCAGACCACAGACCGTGCAAATTAAACCACATCAGATAACACAATCTTAGTGAGTTGTACTCATTGCTCATGCATAGCAGAATGCTCTTGGTTCAAATGTTATTTTGGAAAAGGTACTTTGAAAGGTAAAATGTGCCTCATGTTCCAATGCGCTTCAGTTAACAGGACGATGCAGTAGAGCGGAGATCATCAACTGGCGGTCCCGCGGGTCATATCCCGACCCCCAAAGCTTCCCATCCTGCCCCCAGAATATAATTAAATTCAGAAAATGTGAGAAGGAAAAAATATGTTGTAGTATTAGGGTATCCTTAAATCCAAATAGCTATTTAAACAACACAAAACAAGTGGTATGAAATATCATAAGGAATAACTTAATCTCGTTTTCAGGAATGCACCTGTTAGCTGTTATTGGCAAATATTCATCAGGAGTAAGCTACAATCCACTGTTATTATGACTGAGTGTTAGGTGGGGGTTGTTTCTGTTTGTATAAATCCAATGAAGAAATCGTGAAACAGACTGGAGATTATAACACCATTTAATCGGTCGAGGTCAGACAACTTCATCAAACAAGCATGCTTCCAAATCACTTGACTGACAAAGTGCTGACAAAGTAACAGTGTTCACAGTGCTGCTTATATTCTGTCAAAAAGGTGCAACCCACAAATTCCTTTCTATTTGGGTGCATCACCATAAAACAATGACGTGTTTAATAGCTGCAGGAACTGGGGATCGAACCCCCGACCCTCTGGTTGAGAGACAAACGCCCACTGGGCCACAGCTGCTGTTTTGCCTTCTCGTCAGCTCTCGTTGTGTCGTCCTGACACTTTGTATATAACCTAGCTGTGCAGTAAAAAGTAAGAAGTGAAGCTAATGTTTACGTGAAGCTGCAAGAGAGCTCAGTCTGAACTCCACACAGAGACCATTTTGTGTTTGTTTATGATCGTCCATGTATGAAGATACTCATAGATTTAGGATCCTCGTAACTTCACTGCTGGTACGGCTGCAAACAAACATCAGACAGACTGCAGATTTAACTTTAAATGTACCTGACAGACCATCAGTTCTCACACTGACCATCAGAACGTTACACTGGAACATCTGGCGGACTAAAATATAATGATGTCCAACAAGAGACTGCTCAGATTATGATAACATTATGTTTTAAGATTATTGTTTGCGTCCTGACCAGGATCTTTTTCTTTCTGTGTGCAGCTCATGAAACACACCCAGGTCTCGTTCATGTTAAATATAACAAACAGCAGGCTCTCATAAAGAGCAGAGTATCGTCAGCATGAGACGTGAGTGTGTGTGTTTGTGTGTGTGTGTGTGTGTGTGTGTGTGTGTGTGTGTGCATGCTGGTCCCTTTCAGATGCTATATCTGTTATAAAGAGAGGCACATGTGGTCGTTAGTGGTGCGGCAGCGGATCTATATAAAGTGTAAAGTAAAATATGTGGACTTTTATGTGTGCTGTTGATGTGATCGCAGCAGCAGGGGGGCAACATATTTTTTATTTATTTTAGGGTATATTTTTATATTAAAATCTGCTATCTTATCCACACACGCACACAGACTCAAACACCTTATTCAAATGAAGCCATGAGAAGCTTTAGTTTTGATACGAGTAAGGCACCTCAGCCCGTGCATTTACAAGGGGGGATATTCCGTGCGCTCAGTGAGGTCCTCGCACGCGTTCTCTCTACCCCACTCTCTCATGTATGAAGTTCATGAATAAAGAAAAAATGGATAAAACAGGTGGGAAATTTACTCGGGCGGCCATAAATATACTTGGGTGGCCTGCCCAGGTATCGTTGATCTGTGGGAAACCCTGCGCCATGTATCAGCTTAACATGCTGATGCTACTTTATCAGGATAGTCCAGAATCAACCAATAACTTTAACCTTCCTCATATATCAGAGCCTTCAGTAAAGAAGTGAACTTTCTGCTGAAATGTATCAACTTATCAGCACAGCATGAATCTGCATCATGATGTCGTTCTTTCAGCCTGTTTATTGTGACTAAATCTCAGTCAAATCTGTTCATTTTGGGTTCACAGCGCTGCAGTAAGACAGATTTCAGCCGGCTTTAGTGTGACTTGTTAGATACAGTGAACCTGTAAGTGACAGGAGCTCTACATTTGACACAGAGCATGGTAGATACTGTCTATCAGAGAAATCCTGGTACTGACTGATGCTAGCTAACAGGTCATCAAACTGGGACCTGGTCAGGTTTCGAGCTAACAGGTTATCATCATGAGCATTGTAAAGGTAAAATGTTTGGTTTATGGTTAAATTTGCCTCTAATCCTTGTCTGAGTAATTTAATATTTAGTTTCTGCAGATACTGATACTTGTACCCTAAAAAATATTTTACTTTTGTGCTTTGTATGCCTTTATTTAGAGATAGTGGAAAGTCAGAAATCAGGGAGATAGAGATTGGGAAATGATGTCATGATGTCACATGTCAGATTCAAACCCAGGCTGCCGCCTAGAGGACCCGGTGGGTGCACACCAACAACCAGACCATTGGTGCCCCTTGTACCCTCAAATTATTCCATTGTGTTTGCTAAACAATTATATCTCTCCCGATTGCTTTTTTCTGTTTCTCTTTGTAAAAACTTTTTTTTTTTTTAAAGTAAAGTCAAATAACTAACCATCTTTCCATCTTTCCAGAAATCTCGACGTATTAAATCTAGTTTGCATGATAACAAATTAATTACTCAAGGTCTCAAGAAATCAACTGGAACAAACCAGTAATGTTAGCCCACAATAACAAGACCAAAACTAGAAACAGCTCAAATTTATTACAGTGGCCTCGTTCTCTCAGGCAGGATCCAAAGAGCGTCCTGGAGCACACAGATCACTTTAGTGCAAATTTATTAAGGTGCTAACGTTTCGTGATACTGCATCTTTCTCAAAGTCAAGAGTCAGAGTCAAAGGTTGTGTGTCGAAATGTTAGTCCTTTGCACCAAAATAAATTTGCCTTAAGTGATTCTCTGCGTTTTTGAAGCGACAGGAGCCGTTTAAAATCACGTCATTTGACGGCCCACTTACTTCTTTGAGCACGGTTGCATTCAAGGATCGCCCTTTTGACACCATCTTTTCAAGCGGACTCGGGCACAGTACCTGAGTCCTGTACGTTTGTGTTCACACTGATCTAATCAACCTAACTTTAGGGGTCTAGAGTACTCAGTTCAGGGCTCAGGTTCCCCATGTGAAACCTCCCAAAGTGGAGCTGGTGGACCCTGCAGAAACTCTGGTGGTCTTATAAAAGAAGAAAAAAAGAAATACTAAACAATATTGAAACTGAAGTCACCTTACACCGCTTTTAAGGAGGTGAGAGAAGTAAGGAAGACATGTGTTTGATGAACTTCATGAGTAATGAGTGGATAACTGCAGAAAGGTCGACTGTGTCTGCAGTGTGAGCAGGTTTCACCTCCCTGGTTGTGTCCTCCCCTGTGTTGTTTCCCCTCGGGGGCTGTTCAAAGTTTCCTCTAATCTAGTCTCATTTGTGCACATGTAGCTAAATGTCCTGACCGCGGCGGTTGTAGTGTAGAGTTGCTGTGAGGAGAATTTCCAGCCGCATTCCTGAATATTTTCCTCCAAGAAGCTGCTGAGGTTTGAGAAAGTTTCCTGAGAAGACACTGAGCCGCTTCCGCCTCTCTGATGACATGAATCTGATTTGTATATGTATCATATTTAGACTCTCTGTGTAGCAAACAGCTGCTGACAACATATAGTTGGCTCCTCTCCATATATAGATCTGCTACTACTTAGGTGCTTCGCTCATATAAGGTTACAGCTTCAGACACCTAAAGGTAGGAGTGTTAACAAGTGGTAGACAGACTTGAATAATACATTTCACGAAGTTACCAAGATTAATGAATTTCATGAAAATTCGTACGAA